GATGCGTAGGTCCACAAGAGAAGTAAAGAAGTACCCAGGGGAGGAGAATATATTTTCCTGCAGCAGGGTGACTACTAACACATATAAAGGGGAATGATGGAGGTTAAGTGAGAAAGGCATCTTTCTGCCTCCTTCATGTTAAAACAACAGAATCAGACCATCAACAGCTGCTTGATCAGAGTCAAGGTGAGGGGCAAGAGGTCTGACAGAAGGATGGGTTGTGGAGTCTTAAATTATTCCCTCTGATTTCCTAGTAGTCACCCAGTAAATGGTAATTATGTAGCACAGAAATTAGATGAGAATCCATCCAAATGATAAAAATGAGTGTCACCAAAAAGGGGCAATGCGGACAGCCCTTGCCTCCAATCTGATTCTGGAGAAGGATTTATCACACACATGGTGATCCAGCCACATCCATGACCTACATCTAATCACCAGGATGCAGGGAAATCCAAGTGAAGGGCTACTGTACGAAACAGCTTGTCTTCATTCTTGAAAAAAAATGAATAAACACAGCAAGGCTTAGATAACAGTAAAATAAAATAGGCAGTCCTAGACTGGATGCTGTGCTGGAGAGAAAAAAAATGCAACAAAGGACATTAATGGGACAACTGGCAAAACTGAAAATGTACTGTAGATTAAAGTATTAAATTTCCTCAATTTGCTAACAGTACTAGGGTTACATAAGAGGATATCTTTGTTTTTAGGAAATACACAGTGAAGCATTACGGAGAAATAAGCTGTCTCCTCTCAACTGACTCAGAAAAACTGTACTCATATACATGAATATTTGTATGTGTATTTGGAAGACGAGAAGGAATAATACAAATGATGATTAAAAATGGATAAAACTGGGCTGGGTTTTGGTACAGTGGTTATGTCACCTCCGGGAACACCTGCATTCCATGGAATGATTGTTGAAGCCCTTACCTCGCTTTTTCATTTCAGTTTCTTATGAATGAGTACTTCTTTGAAAGCACAGATCCAACAAGTACCTGGATCTTTGCGATTCACATGGGAGACTGGGACTGAGTTCCTGGCTCCTGGTTTCAGCCAGGCCAGTGTCGGCTGTTGCAGGTAGTTGGCCAGTGAATCAACAGATGTAAAAAAATTTAAAATGGCTAAAATTGGGTATCCTATATTAAGGAGTATATTACATTATTGCAACCTCAAATTAATAAGTTTAAAGAAGCCAAACAGTGGCCAAACCATTTTGAGGTGTATCGGTGTTCAACAAGCTTTTAATGAGCAGCTAAGTCATTCAACCTATAATTGGTAGTGCAAGATACAGGGTTAAATTCTTAGAAACATTTTGTTACTCTTATTACTATAATGATCCCCATTAAAAATTTATGAAACACTCATTAAGTGGTAAGCTCCATAAAAGGTATTCCACTTGCCTTACCTATTTTAATCTTCTCAATTATCTTAGGAGAAGGGTACTATAATTACCTCCCTTTTACAGATGAGGAAACAGAGATTTACAGAAGTGTCATAACTTACCCTATGGAAAAGGAATTTACACAACAAGAGAATCAGGAACCACATATCCAACTACGTTGCTTGGTAACAAGGATGGTGGGGCTTACTAATTACTAACTGCTTATTATTGTTCCATGAAGAAAGAGATCAAACCCAACCAAGATGAATTTCTGACAAATTAGTTAAATATGCATAAGTGTTTATTTTCTTAATTGAAATTGAAGTACAAATGAACTAGCAAACAAAAAAAAGATGTTTTTGTTCTTTCCAATGTACTCTGTGCTCTCTTTTTCCCAAAGTCTGAACTTGGTTACAAACACATTCTTCATGACAAAACACAACCTACGACAACTTCTGCAATGATTTTTGTCAGGATACATGAGTCTCAATTTTACACTGGAATTAAAACGAATTGTCCTCTTGCTTACCTGTTAGTCTAAAGGGTTTTTTTTTTTTTTTTTTTTAAAGATTTATTTTTATTATTTTTTATTGGAAAGGCGGATATACAGAGAGGAGAGACAGAGAGGAAGATCTTCCGTCCGATGATTCACTCCCCAAGTGAGCGCAACGGGCCGATACTATGCCGATCCGAAGCCAGGAGCCTCTTCCGGGTCTCCCACGCGGGTGCAGATTCCCAAAGCTTTGGGCCGTCCTCGACTGCTTTCCCAGGCCACAGGCAGGGAGCTGGAAGGGAAGCGGGGCTGCCGGGATTAGAACCAGCGCCCATATGGGATCCCGGGCGTGGAAGGCGAGGACCTTTAACCACTTGCGCCACCGCGCCGGGCCCGTCTAAAGGGTTTTTATAAGAACTAGTAAATTATTAAATTAATCCATAAACGCTGTAAAACAACTTTGCTCAACTTTTTTCCTAAGACGTGAATACCTACAGCAAAACAGTCAGTGATATCTATTGGTGTCTCAAAACTTACTCCTAAGCTTCTTGCTGAAGCAGTTTAGGGAACCACTTAGGTTTCAAACAACTCTCAGGCGGCCAGCAAGCTATGCCACAGGCCTCCATATGAGCACTGATTTCTCTTCTAGCTGCCCCACTTTGGCTCCAGTTCTCTGCTAATGGCCTGGGGAAAGGAATGGAAGATGGCTCCAGTGTTTGGTCCCTGCATCCTTTAGGGAGATCTGGATAAAACACTGGCTCCTGGCTTTTGCCTAGCTCAGCACTGACCACTGTAACCAATGTGAGAGAGAACCTGTGGATGCAAGATATTCTATCCTTAACAGCAAAATGTCTGTCAAGACTACCATCCATTCTATCTGGTCTAATGGAAAATGACCCCATAGCCCATGTGGTTATATCTTAGCCCTAGCTGCTGACCATATCTTTCTTCCCAGTGGAAGCTGGATGACTTTAATATCAAAACACACATAGGTTCAAAATTCTGCAATATTTCTAAAATGTGCAGGAGTTTGAAGATACCTTAACATTTGACACTGCGGATGCTAATTCCAGAACAATGGGCTCCCCAACCTTGGTTGCATAGTTTAATCACATGGGATCTTTTAAAATCCTGATGCCAGTTTCACTTCAGCCCAATGACTCCGGCACCTCTGCAGATGTGTCTCAGTAATGATTGATTTATAAAGCTTCTCAGGTGATTGCCAGGTGCAGTCAGTGTGAGTTTTCAAGCCATCAAGTAATGTATCTTTGACACACAGATGCAGATGATTCATTAGAATTTATTATAACTGGTCTAACTTGCTAACAAGTGTATAGTTCAACTGAAAAATAAGACAGAAGTGTATGTAGAAAGAAGTAACAAAATGAAGACTGAATACAGGGGCCAGTGAACCATTATACACAATGAACATTATAAGGAGACCACCTGGGGTGGCAGAGGAGGGTGCAACACAGTGAGAGCCTCTGACACAGTGCAGGCAAGGGAGGGCACGTCTGAAACAGAGGCATGCGCAGTGTGCTCAGACCGTGGAATGACCAATCTAGCCATGGTTGAAGGTTCTCTCTTCAGAAAAACAATCTGGAGAAGAAGGCTGGAGCTGGCCTCAGGAAGACAAAGAATCCAGTGGCGGTGTGCAGTGTGTCAGAGGAGGTGAGCAAATGACAAGACCAAAGTAACTTCTGAAAAGAGTGATTTGACAGAGATATTCACTATGGTTTTTGGACAAAAAAATGAAAGCTCATCCCACTAGCAGAAGTATAGAGAAGATTTAAAACCAGATATATGACAAAGCATTGCAGCAATTTACCTTTCTATTCAGTCTTCCACAGAAAGGAACCAGAGTTTGAATCTGAAAAAATACTCATTTTATGGCTCCCTCCACAGGTACATTAACCACTCAGAGGTCAGACAGGGCAGGATGGAAGACTTGTCCCATTCTCTGCCCCCATGAGAACTGCCTCCATTTTCCTGAGGCATCCTCTCAGACACCAATTATTTCTGCATCTGTATCATCCTTTTGTTTCCATCAAGGAGACTCAAAGGCTAGGATATATAATTTTAGAGGAAAATGTTTTCTTACTTTTTTAAAAAATAAGGCTTTCTGAGAAGCTCAGTGATGCCTGTGTCACAAGGGTATTTGAAAGACTTTAGGACTCATAATGGGCACCACTTACACAGCCATTAGATACTTTCTGACATTTGCTTCTCTTCTAGACAGCGGGGCTGCAGCAAGATTCCCCTCCAAAAAGGCAACTTAGAATTTCACAGGGATCATTCAAAAATATAATGGCAATCTAGGGCCACAAAATATATGACTGTAGTTGGTTAATGATATTGAACAACAAGAGGGAAAAAATTAGGGTTCTTTTAAATAATGAACTGTAAGCAATAAGGGAAATTGTAGGCTAGTGTAAGCTTGCCATTAAAAATTCAGTTAGAATCATGATTATTGGAAGTTTATTCAAGACACTAGATGTATCTCAAGCTCCTTGAACAGTGCTGGCACATGCAATGTGGTAAAAGAAAAAAAAACAATTAAAGGCATTGCCAAATGGAATGGACCTCAATGTGAGATGTGAGGCAATCTTCACTCTCATCTAAGGCAGTGAGGTCAACTCAGCTGCAGGTTCAAATGTCTCACTGAGAAGAGATACATGTCTAGGTATTTAATCTTTCTATTCAATGTTGTAAAAAGCAGAACACACTGCTCATTTCTGAACTGATGTCTCGGGCATCTCGTGAACTACTCATGAATGATTACCCAGTCATTCACAAACCTCTGCTCTATGTTGTCTACAGGATTACCCAGAGTCATGAGCACTTGGAGTTCAGAGATCATCTATACCTGCTGATTTTAATTCCAAGAGCACAGCTAAATTCTCTGTCACATTCCCACCTTTAAACTATTTAATGAGAATCTGATTGTATGCATTATTTAGAACTAGTGATGATAAGTCAGTCCGTACTTTCTTTGAGAGAGAAAATACACGAAAGTGCTCAATTCTTCTTTTTCTACATCACTATGCTCTCTAGTTTTCAGACAATCCCAATTCTCCTCTATTCAAGAGCTCCTGGCCTTCTCTTGCCGCTGGAGAGGAGTCTTACCTGCATAATGTACTGGAATCTCTATCTTTGGCCCAATGACATAGTGACCCTCCTCCAGGCTATGGGCAGTGATGGTGGTCCACTGGCGGCATGAATGAATCAGAAGGTAGTCATTTTCCCGCAGCCCTTCTATGCATTCTCCTGGAAAACACAATTTTTACATACAAACACTTAGTCTTTACTCTTTAATAATATTTCACATTAAAACATTGTAAACATTGTTAACATAGAATTGGCTGTTCATTCACAAATATAATAAAATTCATTTCTGGGCTGGCAAAAAATAGAAGTTGGTAATTAATTATACATAAGATTCTGTTTTCTGTTTTTTTTTGCAAAGAGATATCTACTTTTCTCATTAAGCTGAAAATACTATCTCAATGCTAGTCAAAACAAACATTTAAGAAGTGCCTATAATATTTAGCATAATTGAGGTGTTCTACACACACTATTTCACATGGTAAGACAATGGTATTGAAGTGTAAGTACTGTTCCTTCTTTAAAGAGGAAAGAAATCAAGGTTTTAAATGTTACTGAGTGGGAATTTAAATCAAGGTCATAATGATTCCAAAAATTAATAATCTCCATATCATTTCTGTTTCCAGAGAACTTAAAATGCCTGCACATTAAAAAAAAAAGTATGCAGTTGCCAATTCTTTCTGGCTTTCTACCAAGACATTCCATACAATGAAGTGTAATAACATACATATACAATGATTTTTCATGTTAATATATTCTATATAATTAACAGTTATTATATATGTAAAACTGCTTACAAATGGCATTTATAGAGCTCTCAAAAGTTCTTAGATGTTTCAATATTTTTTTCAACAAATCCTGGAGCCTGTAATGAGCGCCATGTTTATCCCAGCTATAAGTCATCTAGTTTGTTTCCAAGACACCTTGCAATGATTAATTATTAAGACAGTCTTTATGCAGAAATAGCTTATTTTTGTAGTAGAAAATATTTTTTAAAAATCACTAGCTTTATCTCTGGGGAAAGAAGGCAGAACAACAGACCTAAAGGAGACACTAACAGGAGAGGGAGAATCCGACTCACCAGAAAGAATCTTTAAAACCAGCCTCCACTGACTTTCATTAAGAGACCTCCTGGAGGCCATCTCATACTCCTGAGTACTCTGCATCTCAATCGTGTTAGAGCAGGAAGGAAAGATCTGAAACAGGAGCTGCCAAAGAAAAATTATGTAACCCCTCGTGGAGGGTCCTACCAAAAGGCAGGGCAGGGCAGGCAGGCAAAGCAGGAAGAGTAAAGTGAAGAGGGGATGTGTCGCACCTATGTGTGACCTGGGGCAGGAACCTTCTCTTGAGTTCTAATCGGGGGTAATTAGAAGCAAGCCCTGCCTCACATCATTGATGTAAGGATATGTACAAGTGACAATGAAGAGAAATGTATAGCACCAAGTCTCGCGTGTTTTTGCCTATAGACAATGCCATGATAATTAGTAATAGCAGAATGGTAAACCTCTCCCTGTTACTAAAAGACTACATACCATTGTGATAACAGGGATAGTGGGGTAAGGGGAGGAGAATGATGGGAGGGAAAAGTAGGGAGGGAGAAAGGGGAGAGAGAAGAAGGATGCTACAAAATTTTTATCATGAAAAATGATAATAAAAATTCCAGAAAATTTTTGAAAGAAAAAAAATGATCAGGAAAATCTGTATTAGTTTTATTGTGTGCTCTTCCCCTAACATTTAATCCTTACCCAAACATGGTAATTTAGGTCATAGTTACTGTTTAATAGCTCGGAAAATGCCCTTTACACCAGTGAAGAAACATGCCCAGAGCTGCACAGGTGAGAAGCAACAAAAACTGACCTTGGATCATTCTACATCTCTCCTCGTCCTTCCAACACCACAGAGCTCTTGACCTTGAAAACCTCTGACAATTTCTAATAAACAAGCACTGTTTGTTCTGATCAGCAAGGATACATCCGTGAACCAAACACTATCCAGCATGGAGGAGACAGCCATTGCCAACAACCAACATGAGAAGCTGAGTTACAGGTTAACTAAAAGGTGAGAGATGCTATGGAAAAAGTGAAAATCAATAAATAAATGGCAAGAGGATCAGAGATGGAGCAAATTGTATATTTGCTATTTTAAAATCTTCCTCATTCACTGCATCAATGAGCACTCAGTGAGTACCCTTGACAAGCAGGCAGTGGAGGAGTGGGCAAAAATATCATGAAGATTTGGTCTGTGCACTGACCTTGACATTCTTCTTGATGAAATGAGATCACATGTAATTTTATGAAAGGCAGGATGGGACCGGTGCTTAGCAAGAGGGACAAGAAATTTAGAGTTAGAGGGACTTTAGAATAGAAGATTGCGAATACCAGAAAAGGGAAAAGAGCATTTGGGCTGCTACTTCTTTGAACAAAAATGAGAGGGAGGCGTTGGGGAGTCTGAGTAGGGTCATGGCTAAGACAATGACTGGAGCTCTGCTTTAGAAAAATTACTCTGGTGGTATTGTAAGCGATGGATCTGGGGAGAGAGAAAATAGAGCCATGGGGTTTGTGCAGGAAACTCAGAAGTATAACACACTGTCATTCAGGGAAAAAAGAAGGATGTCATTTTCTCCAACTAAATTGTTGTATCATAAAAACTGTTTTAATTTTATTCCACAATGGGCTCTAAAGAGACAGTCAAGCAACAACTGCAGTCAAGTTAATCAAAATGAAAATTTAATGTTAAAGCCTACTGCTAGCTGTTTTAGCAAATACTCTGGCAAGAGGATTCAGAATGATTTTCAAAACCATAAACTAGTCAGAAGCCCATGCCTGCTTTGCAGCTTCGTCTTTCTTATTTTTTGAACAACTTAACTGTGTGCTTGCTTTAGGCAAAATAAGTTTCACGAATAAAACTTAATATAATCGTTTAAAAATATCTGCGGGAAGGCCACTAACAGAGATAGCACATTAAATGAATTCATAAAGTAAACAACTTTCTGTGATATAATTATCCTCTTGCTCAACTACTATGTATAACATACTACAATGTATATATTTAGCTCAATGATGTAGTAACAGCAAGTCTAAAAGAACTGTGTGTGAAATACCAAAATATGTGAACAGCATCCTCAATCTTCCCTACATGGAGTATGTTTTTAGAAAATATGCTACTTGCCTGGTTTGACTCTCATCTCTTCAAGCCTTACATACTCCTTAAAACCACTTGTAACACCAGGATAACTACTCCACAAAATCTTCAAGCCCAGTCTGCCTTTCAATTATTGCTTAGAGTTGTTCCTTATATTTCTGCTAAACTAGATTTCATCAATTGATTGATTGATTGCCTGTTCAACTTCTTATCTGGAAAAGCATCAAGCCTTTTTACTCTAAATTTAAAATGTTATCTCAAGAGAGAAAGAGACAAAATGAACAAGTGTGTAAGTATGATCTCATCCACTGGTTCCATCCCTACCTAAATGTCCACAAAGAGCCAGAATGAACCAGGAACCCAATTCAGGTCTTCCAAATGGTAATAGAAAGCTAACTACTTGAGCCAACACCTATCTCCTAAGTTGCACATGAGCAAAAAGCTGGAATCAGTAATGAACTTCAGCATTTGGAAATGGGATCCAGGTATCCCAAAAGGTATCTTCATTACTATGCCAAATTCTCACCCCAAAACATGAAACTTTTTCACTGTTGACATCTCCCTTTCTAAGTGGAAAATTTCACATTGACCCCCTCATAATGGGTTACACTTGGAACTGCAGGTGTGCTAAACATATGATATAAACATTTTGTGTAATTACTTAATACGGATCTAATGTTAACCATTGTGCATTGTTTTTCTTTTATCTCTGTCAAGAGAAAAGCTGTTCAAGCTCTTAGGGACTGAGTATACGTTGGGAGTTGCATAGGGCAAAATGAGTTGCAGGAACTTTCTACAGTTTCTGTGTCTAGCCCTGCAACTTAAGTTCACACCATGACATGCCAAAGCAGCATGCACCTAATTCCCATGATGCATCTAAGTCTCCTTCCACACCAGTACGAAGGAGATGTCATACATGCATACTGGCTGAACTCCACCTACAGATGCTGCAAACTTTGAAGATTTTATGTGAAACTAAATCCGTACCAGACCCCTGATTTGTATATTCAATTAGTGCATTCATTCCCATCCCCCCTTAAGAGGATCACCGGACAGCAGTCATTCAACTTCTTGGTCTTTTCTTGAGCTCTCAGCTTGAGGGCAGCTTGCTTTCTCTCTGGCCCTCTCACGGGGATACACCTAAATGTATGCTGACTCTCTCACTTTAAGTATATGCTGCTGTCATGACTGCACATTACTTATGTCCCTGATCGCATGCAGAGGCAAGAGCCTGGGAAACACATTCCTACAATAAAATCTACAATTGTGCTGGTACTTCCTCACTACTACTAATAAACAATGTGGTATAATTTAATCATGTTTACATGACCTTATAATCTGTTTCTGGTAGAAAGGAAACTTTGGATAGATGCTCAAAATACATCGAGTCTCTTACAACTTAAATGTTTTAAAAATACCTGCAGTGTCAGGGGGTAATGATACTAAATGTATTTCTTCCGTCCAGGCACCCTGTGAAAGTCACCACGTATACTCTCCCTGTGTTAACTGCTGCCATGTGACTAGCTCAAGTCAACAGGGTGTGTGTGCGTAGAAAAGGCCTTTCCCATTTCCTGTTCTGCCCTTACCCACGAGAGCAGCTCACAAGCATCCTCTGTGTGCTCCTTTCTTGGTCAACACTAAATATTGATTCCGAGGGAAATCTTGGAGAAAGCTGAAGACAGCAAGTCTGTTGGCAGTCATGGTTTCTTAATTAACACATGGTAGAACAAACCAACTACCTAAGCCCTGATCACACACTGAACTGTGACATGAGAAATCCTTTTTGCTGGGACAGTATGCCAGAGCCGGGTTGTGGCTCCTTTTTTCTTATAGTAGTAGTTAGCTCAGCTAAACTAAAACATTAGGAGGCACAGATTTCAATACCAACACTGTCTCCTAATTCTAACAATCAGGGTTTTTGTTTTGAGGCTATTTTGAACATTTATTCTTTATAAAAACCAATATATCTTACTTCACAAAGGTAGTGAAGACTAAAAAATTCCTCATTGTTTCAGCTACAT